TATGAACAAATCCTCAGTAGCACGGGAACTAGCAGATAGAATCAACAACTGGGATCTCATCTTACTAAAAAGCTTCTGTACTTCAAAAGAAACCATCAGCAGAACTAAGAGACAATCTACAATGTGGGAAAAAATTTTTACCAGCTGTTCCTCAGACAAAGGACTATTATCAAGGATATATAAAGAACTCAAAACAATCAGTCCCCCCAAATATAAAGACCCGATTCAAAAATGGGCATCCGAAATGAACAGACATTTCTCAGACAAAGAAGTTAAAGCAGCAAGAAAATGTTTGAAAAAATGTTCCACATCACTGGTCATTAGAGAGATGCAGATGAAAACAACACTGAGATTCCATCTTTTTTCTTTTTTCATCGCTAGGTAACTCATTCCTTTGTAGTAGTGCTGAATAATATTCGGTTGTCTGGACAGACCACAGTCTATTCATTTGCCCACTGAAAGGCATCTTGGTCGCTTCCAACTTCTGACGGTTTTGAATAAAGCTCCTGTAAAGATCCGTGCATGGCTCTCTGTTGACGCATTTTCTGCTCCTCTGGGTGGGTACCCAAGTGGGAAGTGGCTGGACGCCATGGGACGTGTACATTGATGTTGTAAGAGGCTGCCAAGCTGTTTTTGAAAACGGATGTGCCACTTTGATTCCCCTGGTAGGGAAAGAGGATTGCTGTTCCTCAGGGTCCTCTCCAGCATTTGGTGAGCTCCGTGGTTGGATTCCAGGGCACTCAGAGTATGGAGTAGTGGTCACTGCTGTTTCAAGTTGCATTTCTCTGCCCGTAGGTGTGGGAAGTGTCTTTTCACCTGCTTCCTGGACATTTGTATAATTTTTTTTTGCCAATGTGTCTTTTAAGCTTTTGGCCTATTTTTTATTAGGTTTTTCATTGTTTTAATAGCTCTTTGTTTAGGCCGTTTTAATTTTTCAGTTGATAACACTTTTATGTAGCTTGCTTGATAATTCTTTGATAATATGTCTTTTGCAAATACTTTCTTCCAGTCTTTTCTTTTTGCATTCTTTTGATTGTATCTTCACAGAGCAGGGTTTGCTTTCGGTGGTGTTGTTATTTTAACAAGGTCTATCTTATCAGTTCTTTCATGGATCATACCCTTGGTGCTGTCTAGAAAGTTACCACAAACTGTGGATCATCTAGGTTTTTCTCTTATGCTGCCTGCTAAGGGTTTTGTAGTTTGCATTTTACCTCTAGGTCTGTGGTCCACTTTAAGTTTTCTGAAGGCTGTAAGGCCTGTGTGTAGATTGTTGTTGCACGGTGATGTCCATTCGATCCCACACCGGGTGTTGAGAAGACAGTCTTTTCTGCATTTAACTTCCTCCAGTCCTTTTTTGTCAGCAGGTGACTGTTTACACAGGTCTGCTTCCGGTCGCTGACCTGTTGTCTGCACTTTTACCAATCCCACACTGCCTTGATTGCCGTGGCTTTGTCGTAACCTCAAGGACGGAGTGTTGGCTCTCCAGCTCGGTTCTTTTCCTTCAGCATTAGCACGTTCACATGTTCACGCTGCATCCTGATCCTCTCCATATAAACTTTACCATCAGTTTTGATATCCCCAAAATGACTCGCTGGCTAATTGCATAACTCTTCCTGCGTGTTTGTAAGCTTAATTGGTATGCTGATATGAAACAAGTGTTTCTTGATATTTATCAATTTTTTCTCAAAGGGTGGCCTTAAAATAAACAGCTACACAGTAAATGGCAGAACGCTGTTCCTTCGCTTGCCCTTAGGTAGATGCTCCAGCTCTGTTTTAAAAACCCGCCCCCTTTCGGTCCCCCACAGTCCATCTTGGGGTTTGGCAGAGAGGAGCGCTCTGCTCTGCCGGTGTCTTTGAACTCGGGGCTTTGTGTGGATTAATCCTGTCCCTGCTCTCGCTGTAAACTCATGGTGGTGAAGTCCACTAAAGCGGCTCAGGTTAGAGGTGGCAGGTTAGAGCCGCCGTGGAGGGACTGAGGCTGCCATGCTCCAGTCTGGCTTTGCCCTGTGTGTCTGGTGGCCTCATGGAGTCCCTTGTGATGGTCTCTGTGGAAGCTGACCGTTCTGTCTCAGGCCACATGCGAAATAAAACTGGTGCTGCTAGCACCGCTCCGGTGTCACTTGGCCTCATGTTCCAGAGACTTCTGTGTGCTATCCGTGTGGGCTCTTGTGGTTATTCACTGTGATCCTTCTGCTCTGTTCGAGGCCAGGCCCAGAATGTGCACCTATGGCCTAAGCCAGTCATACGGGTGGACATCTCCGGCCCCCTCCACCCCCTTGGCCAGCACAGGTCCAGCCTAGGCTGGATGTTCCCGTCTCCTGCCGCCCCTCTCATCCACGTGTTAACATTTTACAGGTAATCTTTGTTTTCTCTTTCCGTAGTGGAGTCTTCGGTTGTGCTTACCTCTGGCTAGATTTTCTTCATTGTTTCTGTGCTGAGTTGTGAGTATCCAAGCAGGGGGAACTCAGTCTGAATCTAAACTCGCCCACTTTATCTGGTGGGTAGACTGGGCCCCTTTCTGTATCTCTGGGGGATTCACTCCCCTCCTCTGAGAAGTAGGCAGGAAGTGCGTGCCTCACAGGGGCGGTGCGAGGGTCAGGCATGCGTGCGAAGTGCTGGGCCTAGGCCGGAAGCTCACAACGTGGAGCTGGTGTTGAGCCTCAGAGCTGGTCAGAGCTCGCTGACCACAGCACAGTTGTTTCCTGAGTCTGTGCCGGGAGACACGTTTCCCTCAAGTCAGCGCCGGCGAACCTCTCCAGGAGGTCCTGCTCTTGTAAATGATTGTACCAGCAGCCAGAGGGACTCGTGGGTACCTAGGAGTCCTCTTGTCTAAGGCGAATACACATAGTCCCCCCCAAAACAGAGAGAAGCAGAACCTTGGCACGTGCCAGGGTGTGGCATGTCGCAGGGTGCAGGTTAGCAAACCACATCCCACAGAGGCAGGCTTGCCAGTTCCCTGGACTCCAGGTCCTTGGAGAATAGCACGAATGACCCGGGTGGTCTTTTAAGGATGTTTCTGTATTTAAAAGGAAACCTCTTAATCTGTTAGACGGGCTCTGCCAGACGGGTGGCTCGAGCATAACTGGGCTGTGCCCTGCTGGTGTTGCGTTATGGAGCAAGTGCCGAGGAGGTTTTCATTTTATGTCAGAGTTTGAAAATTGATCGCACAGCTTCCAGCCACTTTCGCTCGAGGCCTTCTGAGATTTTCATTACTTTTCAAAAGTGAAGACTCTTGGTACCCATTTGCAAATCAGAGTTTTCATCTCAAGATATCTGCCAAAGTAGTATCAATAGTGAGTTTTTAATAAAATTATGATAGAGAATCTTTGAAGAAGTCAAAAGTTGTAACTGTTAAGAGAAAAATATCATCTTGAATTGTTATAACACATTAAATCTTCAAAGCAGTGTGAAAAATCTGTCTCGTTAAGCAGAATACTTTGGCAAAACAATGTATCTTCTAATGAAGGCAGGAGATACATTTTGTATTATTTCCCCTTAGTAATAATTCTAATTTTTGGAAAAATATTCTGATGACTATTGAAATAATAGATGTCTTAGGGTATGATGTCTTGCAGAGTCTTCAGCAAAATGCAGGATTTACACCAAGCCAAATCATGTGGCTTTCTAGTTAATTACATCGAATAAGGGATGAGTGAGAGTAAATCTGCCTTTGAAATTTCAAAAGATGTGGTACTCTTTAGAACCCCCACCCTGCTAATGGAATGAACACTTGGGGAGGCAGTGCACCGGCCATCCCAGGAAGACCCATTGGCATTCTTCGTGGTAATGTGCCGAGATTAGAGGTCCACGAAACCAATGCTGTGGGGCCTCGACTTGGTAAATGCCACAGAGTCATTGTTCACTCAGTTCGCACAATTCTGTTGGATGCTGTTCTACCGGTCAGTTACATGAGCACCTGAGAGTGTGGCTGCCCTTTGAAAGCACCACCATATTTATTTGGAGATTAGTTCATGTTGAGGAAGAAATTATATTGTACATCAGCGTCCGCACATTGTTTTGAGAAGCATTTGAGTAGCTAAGTATGCCTTGGCGATTAGAGAGGCATCTGTCGGAAGATGTTGATTTGGAATGGAAGTTTGAGAATGTCAGCTCTCTACCATTTGTGTGCGGATGAGACTTTCCACTCCTTCCCTGTGTTTATAAGAGCAGCGGAGACTTTTTTTAAAGATTTCATGTAGCTTTGGAAGTGCAGTATGACTTTGCAATATAAAGTGTCTGGGAGCTTATTAAAATAAATTTAAATATACATTAATTTACAATGTTGCTGTTCTTTCTGGTTGTGTTTGTTTCTAAAGTGGAACTTCCGCAATCCAAAATACCCTGAATCATAGACAGACAGGAAATTGAGTCCAAAGAGATTTGGGCATCTTTGGCTCAGCCTCTGAGTCAAAATCTGAAATTATGCCTGCAGCTACTAGATCAGGGAATAAGATAGACAGACAGAGTGTCACTAAAAAGGTGCTCACTTGCTCTGTTTATTAACAGTTACTTATGTAGATGCTTATAGTACTTACCATTGGCCAGACAGTAAACTGAGGAATCTACAAATACCAGATTAACTATTTAATATGCTACGAGATAAGCATTTATGTCCCCCCTCAAAGCGAAACTTGGTTGAAACTCTGGCCCTCGATGTGGCGGGAGCACTGGGAAGACAAGTGATTGTTTGGAGCCCTCCAGGCAGCACTGGGGACCTCAGGAGAGGATGATGGGACGAGAGCTTTCCCTACCATGAGAGAACCTGGCCATGGTAGAGACCAGGAAAAGGACGCTCACCAAGAGCCTGACCTTGCTGAGTCTGATCTCAGACTTCCAGCTCTAGAGATTGGCAAATGAGCTCTGTCCGGACTATGGTGATCCTCCAGGGCAACACAAGGTAACCAAAGGTGCGTGTGGCCCAGGTCATCTGTCTGGGCCTTTATCTAAGGTATGAGCTGAAAACCTGCAGCAGCTCACCGAGGAGACGGTGCTATGCTCATTGTATAGATGAGGAGCCAGACACTCATCTCCTCTCACGCCTCCCACACGAGGGTCCACAACTGTACACCATGGTTAACACAGCGGCGGAAAAGGACGGGCCTTCATCCTCATGGTTTGGTTTTGCTGAAGAACTGGGAATTTCGGTTGCATCCTCTTCTTTTCGTGTTTTCGAAGAGAAGGTTTTCCTCTTGGAGCTGCCCCTCAATAGAGATGGGAGCTCTGCCCCAGCAGGGGAAAGCCCTGGGAGATGAGCACTTTGGACAGTTCCTAGAGTCGGAGTGGGGAGATTGACTCACTTGGCTGAGGGCGAGTGATCCTTCTTCCTCTTGGGGTGCACAGGAGCGTTGCTGTGGGTAAGCGGGTCAGGGCCCGGAGGCCTTGTGAGCGGAGGAAAGAAGGGAGGGATGCTGGGGAGGGACACGGGCTTGCAGCACAGATGTGTGCTGAGCACTGGTGAGTCCTCCCGGCCTTGTGTGGTGCGTGTGTGTTTTATCTTTGGTCTCCCCACAAGATGTGTATTAAATGTTTGATTTTTAAAAATGTCCAAACCAATGTCCAAAGCCGCGCGTTTGTTTTAGGCTCTGTAGCCACACGCTCGCGAAGGCTCCATGGGAGACTTTGTTACTCACCCCTCCGGGGATTCTGACACGTACCGGTTTTGTTTCTCTCCCTGGAACTTGGGTTCCTTTCCTTCTTGCAAAACAAATTTCATTCTCTTCTACACAGCCTCCTCCAGCAGCGTTCAGATGTTAGGAGTGGAGCGGTCTAGACTCCAGTACCCTCCGTGTTTGGCCAAAGCTGTGTCCCTGTAGTTCTGTGCTCTGTACTGCTTCACCGTGGCCACCCGTGTTCACCTCTGCACCCTACTGGCCCCTGTGAGCAAGCTTGTGCCCTCAGCAAAGCCTGGGTGTGTTCTGAACAGCAGCAAGTATATACACCTTGCCTGGATGCTGGGATTTGGTGTGCAGTGTGGCCTGTTCATAGCGGCGCTTGGTCACTCTGCTTGGCATTGATCAAACTCTTGCTATCTGTACTCATCTGAAACTCACCTCGGTGGCCACTTGGCTCAGACCAATAGCATGTATTTGAGTATAGGTTTTCACTTAAATGAGTGTAACTTTCACATAATTCATTCTAGCCCATTGTAACTGATTTTTGAGATAGAATGTAGTTTTCCTTCCAACTTCTTTCTCAAATCCTGATCAAAGGATAATGTCTACAGCACATCACCCTCATACTGGTACCCATTCATTCAACAGTTCAGTAAACTAGCTACTGCCTCTCTGGAATGAGCTGGATTCCAGCGTGGTGTTTTTGGATTGGACACAAGAATGTCATGGACATTTTACAAAAGCCCTGTTGAAATTAGGCTCCTCCACTTTTGGGTACAGTCTCTGCCTTTTCTGTCTAATAATCCTATCTAAAGACTCACTTTTTAGGAGCAAACCTATGCTTCGCCTCCTAGTGCTTTCTTTTCCAAATGCTTACTATGTACTTTTTAACGAATTGCCGCCGAAATTGTGAAGCATCGATTACCCCTAACCCCTTGAGTGGGGGCATTTGTGGATCTGTGCCTTTCTTTGACTGGCTTCCTGGCTTCTCATAGCCCATGTTTGAGAAGCACAGCTGAAGGTGTAGTAACAGCTGGTTGACGTTTCAGGGCATCAGGGTACCACTTCCTTCTCCTGGGCCTTTGAAACAGTGACTCAGAGACTCAGCAGAAGGATTCAGAAAGGTTCCTAGAACAGGCTGTGAGAGCAAGCTGGAGATGCTATTGCTTGTCTCCCGAGGGGAGAAAGCTGGAGACTCTGCATGTGAGGATGTATGGAAATAAGCAGCTGGCCTGCACATTCCAGAGACCAAACGAAAGCAAATGGATCTGCGCTGTATTTTTCAGAGATTCAGACTAGGTTTAAATGGAATTTTCTGCTTCTCAGTAATGTTCATCTCTGGAATGGCTTTTTGGAGGAAGTTCTCATTTCTCTCCTCTCTCTAGTCTCTAAAAATAACCTGTATTTTCATCTCTTGTCACATTGGAGTTGTATAGTGCCCCAGAGGCTGCCAGGATTTAGGTGACCTTCATAAGCCCTTGCCTGCTCAGTCTGACTTTTCACCAAACTCACTGCACACCCAGAGCTGCGTCAGTTGCTGTCTTGCTGTCATTTGGAGCGCTGTTCCCAGTCCAGCCAGAATCTGCTAAAGGAAAAGGGACCGCATGGGTCAGAGTGCTGTCCTCGGTGCCAAAACAGAACTCTGCTCTGCATGTTTGTGGGAAACACGTGTGCTCTGTGTAGCACTTGGGCCATGGGATGCGTTCTGTACTTGATAAGTTATTTTTAAAGACGGTCTCTTACTTTCAACTTACCTTCAGGGTTTTGGCAGAACATTTTTTTTCTTTCTGTGGTGAAGTGCGTGACTTGCATTTATTTTTGTTTTTGCCTTCAGACATTTTATTACTGGTTAATTCTTTTGACTAAGTTATTCTGTCACTGTGCAGGTATTTTTCACTGTAATGCTTTTTAAGAATTAGGTGACTGAGAAGCATGTCCTATCACCTGCCCCCAAAACAACAAAAACTGATGGGGAATTATCGTGCCTGAAAACTGCTGATTGAAGGAAGCCGTAAATCACAGATGCAGACAAAACATTAATGTCAGTATTTCCAGAACAGCTGCTATACCCTTTGCACACCTGGATCTCATTTTACCTTACCTTGTACTTCAGTGTGAATCAAACACAGAAATAATAAGTGAACATAACATTTTGACCTCTGGATCTCTGCTACAAAGTGGTGCAGCTGTGAGCACCTCTTTCAGCATGTGTGAAGCCTCCGTTTTAGTGTTGCCTGCATGGTACATACAGTGGTGACAGCGCAGTGCTCGTGGAGATTGACAAGAACAAGTGCAGGTGAATGAGTGTGTGCGTAGCATAGCGCTTGGGACACAGCGCAGCCTTAAAGGTAACTGTGTTTAGGTGCTGACGGGAAGGTATAGCTTGGTTACTATTTACTAGTAATATGCTAAGCAATAGTTTATGAAAAGGAAAATATTTTTGGAATGGTCATGCTTAAGTGGGAAATCAGGTAGAAATATGTAATTATGAGAAAAGAGATCATGCAGTCTTTCAGAAAATAGAGATTAATAATATCTTAACATGATCATTGGGGAAAACAGAACTTTGAAATTGAAAGAAAAGAGAGAAAGAGAGAGGAGAAAGAAGATCAGGAGGTATATACTATTTCTTTATTCTGCTTTGTGCAAAACTAATCCATTGCCTTTATAACCAGTCGTATGGTTAATAGTGGAAGTCAAGTTTCCATTTGCTTGAGAATAAATGTATCTAGGACACTGTTGGAGGAAAGAGGGCTTCTTCAGTTTCATTGTAAATATTTACATGTTGATATTAATATTCTAGGTTGACTTTAGGATTACTTATATTAAGGTGTGATTCTAACTTGTTTCAACTGATGTGGTTTTTTTAGTCCCTTCAAAGTACAGGAGCATATTTTATGTAAGTTGGGGGTGAAGTCAGAAATGAATCTTCTTCTTTTCACAATGCTATAAAATTACATGCATACCGTGCTTCTACACAGCTTTGCTCCAGGCAGGCTCCACGGGCTGTTTACTCCCTTTTAGTCTTCACGTTTACAGGTTGATGAGGTCCATGGGGTCTCTTTGACTGGGCGTATTTATTTGTCATCGTTAGAGTGCATCTCCTGGGGTGAACTGTTGTCCCAGAGCTGGTGAGGTGGCCGGCAGGCTTGTAGATAATAACCAGTGAGTACAGGAGGTTAACGGGGCTGTTTGCTGGTAATGTTTCAGAACCTGAAGTCTCCGGGAACCATTGTTGGTTTCATGGACTTCTCAGGGCTGGAAGGAAACTTGCAGTTCAGCCTGCTGCAGCCTCACCCTGGCTGCTGGGCATTCAGCTGTAGAGAGCTGCATGCTCGTTGAGGGAGAAAGACGCTTTTCCTCAAAGGCGCTCTGAGCCAGACGGGAGGGACAGCATCTCTTAGGTATGGCAGGATGTGCGTGAAGATCACTTTACTCTTCTGTGCTTATGTGGTTCCTGCTGTGAATGCAAAGATGGAGGCAGATGTGGGGCAGAGGGAAGGGGGTCTGTATTTAGGACAACTGGCCCTTATTGGATTCAGTGTTCCCTTTTGAAACAAACAATTTGAATATCCCCTATAAGATTTTGAAACAAAATTTATAATAAACAACCTCTCTTTATTATATACTAAAAAATAAGCAGCATGGTATGCCCTGACTACAAAGTGTTAGGACAATGAAAGGAAGTTATTTACAATATTTTTCACTACATAATGCTCTTTCGCCATAGTTTCTTCATTATAAAAGTTGACACTCATTTTTCTACAGAGAATCGTTTGTAGTTTGCTACACACACAACCCGCAGTAGCTGTGCTGTTAAGAATAAGATCTGCAGAAGTGATGCCCAGCTTTTCTATTTATACAGTAGTTGCCTTCCTGGGGAAACTCAGTGTGTATTAAAACCCTGCCAGAAGTCTTTTTGTACATGGAGAAAATGGAGTTAGATTGCTAAAACATTTTCTTTTTACCAATGAAATATTCAGAGGGTCATTAGAAAATGGTGCAGGACACAGGACAGTACTTTGCGGACAGGATTGTAAGTATTGCGGTACTGTATCCACCTGCACCACTGACTGGATTTCTATTGCTCTGCCTGCACTACTGAGTCCGTTAGAGCTTTGACTGGTAGCATGAAGCTTTCAGAGCTGCTCACACCAGAACGTCATTGTGAACCTGTGCCTCAGGAAGGTGCCCTGGAAATCTCCAGGATTGTATTTTAACTATTTTTCAGGGTATAATTCAGTGGAACTCGCTAGTCACATTGGGCACAGTAGGCAACACCCACTATTTAAACGAAGAGAGGTTTAATTGGGCTCATGGCTCCAGGGGATTCAGTTCCTGGTCAGTGGGCACCAAGGAGGGAGCCCTGTGGTAGAAGGCCCCTGTGGAGCAAGGCTGCTTAGTTCGTAGTGGTTGGCAAGCAGAGAAGTGTCAGAGAAGAAGAGGCAAAGGTCCCCAGGTCACACCTCCGTGGTGCAGCCAGACACACTGAGTAGTATGT